ATGTTGAACAAGAGAAAGAGAGAGAGGAGAGGCGAGAGGACTGAGAGCCCAAAAAGAATACTGCAGGCGTGCAGTATGTTATTATTTATACTAGGATGGCCGTACAACTTAAAGAATGAAGAAATTACAAAAGTACCCTTGCAGTACCAAACATATATACAACAACATCTGTCAACAGTGTTTAATGTATAATTTGTGAGGCTCTCAATCTAATTGAGATGTTGAATAGTTTCACTCTTGTGCATCCTAAGTTTCAATCGACTGATTTAATATCAATTAGATTTATGACTTTGATCCTGAAGAGTGATGAAGTGTCCAACAAGAAAGCTTTTAATTAGTTCGTGTATTAGCTCCCACCTAGTRTTTTAAAAACAAATCCGGCAATGGAACCACTTTTCCTCCAGGTAGTGGGCAGCAGTTTAACCATTTGGGTCAAATGGATCAACTGTCATAAATTATAAATAAATAATATTAAAATATAAAAATAGATAAAAATTTAGTAAAAAAATACAGAGTAGTGCAGAAAAAATTGGGCATGTTTATAGWATTATATATTCATCATATTAAATAAAAAATAAGTATAGAAAATAAGAATTATTGTTGTTAATGATGGAAATAGCTAAAGATATAGAAAAAGTGCAGAAAAGAAATAAAGGACTTAGATGCATATTAGGCTTTTAGTATCTGGATGATAGTTCCTCAAAAATAAATGATATTTTATAGTTAAAAAAGTGGTTTAGTGTCAACAACCCAATGACCCACTGAATGATCGAACAGTTCAGCTGTTTGACCACCTGGATCACTGGGTTGTTGACTCAGTTAACGGATTTTAGTAAGTAAATAGGTCAGGGCCAAACAGCCCAGATTCCTAGCCAGGTGATGGGTTGACTAGTCTGACCAGTCCGGTCAACGACCGGTTTAAAACCTTGCTTGGATAATTTCAAAGGCAGTTATTCATGAGAAGCAGGAAGTTTAACTTCTATGGTCTAATTTGAATAAACACCTTCCATAAAAATAAAATCTCCCAGTACCACAAGGATCTGTTTCAAATATCCAAGATGTCATAATCCAAATGGATAGTATGATAAAATAGAACTAAGTATACAAAGTAATTGATAGGAATTCAAATGAGAATGCATAGATAATAGCCCCTCCCCCAGGCGCATCCAATGGCTGAAACAAATACAAGGACAATATTTGCATGATACTATTTGCTAAATTCTGACCCCAACAAGGACACCAATCTCGATTCCAAGGAATAATGTCATAATGAACGTAATGGTCCAAAGAAGGAAGTCTTTCTTATCCACATGCCACAAAAACATAGCTTCACCATAATCCACCTGAAACAATAAACCAGAAAGAAGAATAAGCACAACAATTGCTTTGAAAAGGTGTACACCAGCAGGTTTACTTTATATATCATAGCACAGTAGACATGCATAAGTGGCAATGGGCAAACTATGGATATTAAAAATTTCAAAAAGAAAGAACAGAAAAGTAGTTTTTCTTATCAAATGTAGGTTTTCTTTTCTCACTAAATAAAAAATATAAAACAACATTCACAGCATTCAATCTAAAAGGAGCTTCATAAACTCTTCAGAATAGCCCAACTTCCAATGAAACACATGGCAAGGCTAGAACATAAAATCATGAAACAGGGTTGGTCCTCCTCAAGTTGAAACCAAAAAGGGACTACATCTTGCTCAATATGTTCCATCTCTACATTAAGCACAAAAGGCCCTTTCCTGATAACCTGTTTCTGTAGAAAGAGAGAGATCAACTAGCACGAAACCCACGAAGATACAATTTCTTGTATTTTCATCTTGCTTTTTTTTTTTTAATTATGGCATCTTTCCTTTAAAGGTAATCCTATTTTTCTCTACAAATAGCCCTATAATCTCCAATTGCCAAAAGATGATCAAAGTGCAAGCTTTGCACTGAAACAAAGTTTTGTTTTCTATGAAAAGTTAGTTTCCCTTATATTCTATGAGATTTCATGGTTCCCCCTCTAAGTGAGAATCCAATAGTATGCATCAATAAAGAGAGATTGTACCCAAATTCTCTCACTTTCAAACAAGAACCAGCATCTAAAATTTTGCCTTACAACCACAAGCACAATTCTTATGATCTTCCTTTAGCAGGGGTAGAACTAGCAGAAGAGACTAAGAAGGGCCATGCCCCGATGATATATAAGGTGGAACCCATCAAGATCCTATGGTTTCTGTGGATTGGTACCCCAGGGAAAGTTTCCAGGGTCCACTTCTGTTCTTCATGCTACTCTGGGTCACAAGTCATAATGTTTTAAATTGTATTCTTGTTATTTATTCTATGGTCTTTAAGGTGTTGTCACAACTTTCTCAACAAACTCTGTTGCAACAGAATTTTCTTTCAAACATCTAGTTAGACAATTATGATTGTAAGGGAAATTTCATCCTTCCAAATACTGAATTTTGAGGAAAATTTTGAAATGGAGTAAACTTTCTGAATAATTTTTCTTTGTTCTCCATTTCTTTAGCTACTTTGTGTAGGTGTAATTCTTCCTCTTTTGTTAATAAAATTTTAAGGTCGCCTGCCTCCACCTCAAGTAAACTTAGGGGTTAAAAATAAAAGATTAAGCTTGTTTGATTTCAGGAAAAGATTGTGGGGAATATAAATTGAAATTCATATAATGTAACTGTTAGAGTTAGCCGAATAAGGGTAGATTAGTCAACTCACCTGGGTTAAGTTATGAGCTTATGTGGCAGTCTTATTAGAGGTTCTCTGTCCCATACTTAAGTAGGGGCGGCTTAGTCCTTGTACATTTAATTAGAAGCCTAATCACTATTAAGAGGTCGACTGATAGGGTTTAGCTATCAGGTTCGACAGTTCTTTCATCTTCTTCTTCTCCTTCTCTTTCTTCTTCTCCTTACTGGTTCGGACTACTGTAGCAACAGTGAAACAGTAACCAATGGAGTTGACATTCACAAGTGTAAAATGTCAAAATGCAACACAATAGGTCCATTCCAAAAACTAAAAACAATATACTAGGAAGCATTTGAAGTCTATAAAACTTTTTCATCGAGGACCTTTTTAATAGGTAATCTGAAATATGTTAAATGGGAAAATATATTAGAAATTCTGGTAAATTGTAGCAAAATTGCTATCCATTATTACAAGAACTTACCTAAAAACCTAAACTGTTGGGGGTTCTTTTTGGTAACTGGATTTCTCAAGTTACAGAATTTTTGTTTGCCAAAATTTCTCCATAAAAAAGTGTTAAGCTTGATTACAAAAAATAACAATGGCCATATGATTCTTCTAGTTTTTGGTATACAATTATCCTGCTTCACATGGTACAGGTCCTACAGGTTGCAAGACCTATAAAAATGTCACTAATTGGAGTAATTGAAGGACAGTGGATGTACTTGATTGAAATGACTTTCCACCATAAAACACAGAGCACGGTCTTGATTGAAATGACTTTCAAAAGGCTTAAAAGGGTAAATTCCTTTTCATCCAAACTGGTCTACTCACCAGACCCATTACAGCAGAGATCACGATGGCAGCCAGAGCACACTGCAATAGAGACAAGTTAACCAATAATTACCATTTTAATGGCACCGTTAGAGGTCAAAAACAGCAGAGTAGACATAGAAACAACAAAAAAGAACCACCCAGTAGCTACTAGTTTACCTGTATTATCTAGAAAATGGCAAAACCATGGACTCCATAACACATGATTTAGAAATCTTAAAGCAGGCAAAGGCAACCATATTTTGTAAATCATAGTTTTGAGCGTTGGTAACAGTGTTGTATGGACACCCCACTTTTGTAGGGGACTTGCAACTTGAGTTGTATCCCCAAGTTGACTCTTGCCTGACCCTCCAAAATATGTGTCGGACTTTGCTACATTGTGAATCAGGCGAATTTACCAAAATGCCTATAGTCTCCGACACTCCAAATTACAAACCTTCACTTTGAATACCTCTATTAATAGCGGTACAACCATTTAAATTGTTTAATAAGTCATTCTAGCATTTGCATTTTTCTAATTTGTACATAACTTATAATTCATTATTTATTGAATCTTTTCCAATTAGCATCGAGATTAGGAAAAAAATGAAAAACAACTAGCATGGTCACATGGAAAATAGGAAAAGTCTCTGGTTTAACTTATCAATTGTAAAAGTAATTTAACTATTTAAGCTATTTTGCTCCCAAAAGAGAAAGCACCCCCGTGAATTTTGATGAATACCATCTGATTGATCACCTTGTTTATGATACCAATTGATTGGCTGGAAGTTTTTCCGGTATGATAGTTGAATCCTAATACAAGTTTATTTTTTTAATTACTATTGTTATTATTGTTTCTGGTAGTAGCAAATGTGCATGTGCTTTGCATGTGGCAATTTTAGATGATGATGATGATGATATGTATCCAAATTTTCTATATAAAAGTAATTATTGTTTATCACACTTATTTTTCTTTAACATGATTAATATAAAATATTAGTGAATTCCTATATTTTTCATTCTGTGTGTTTTTATCTTTTTTATTTTATAATTTAATTCTGACATCAAGTGTTGAGATATTTGACCCAAAAAGGTTGAACTGTTGACTCGTCACCAAATAGGAAAACAATTTCATTTTTGGGTTACTTTTAAATTTTTTATTTCATTTTCAACATCAATAAAAATAATTATTGTTTATCATATTTAGTTTTCTTTAACATGATTAATATAAATTTTCTACATTTTTTGTTTTCTGTATTTATTTCTATTTTAAAAGTTTTGTTATTCAAATATGACATAATGGATTGACCCATTTGATCCGAATGGTTGAATTGCTTACCCATCACCTTGATGGGAGAACAATTTTGTTTTTTTGGGTCAGTTTTAAAAATATGGGTTTTATATTGTTAAAATTATTGGATATAGATCTAATTGTTAGAATTTAATGGTGAGAAAAAATAGCTTAAAAATAAGATTCAGTGAGAGAGAGTGGGAGTTAATACCTCAAACATAAGACTTAATTGGGGGTGGGGGGATTTAATGACGTGAAAAACAATAGTTCAAAATTGAAGGGGATTCTAAGACAGTGGTGGATTGGTTAAATAATCCGGAGGATGTCACTTGGGGTTACAAAAATGAGTTAAAAGAAATTCAAATGGCTGACAAGAAATATGTCAATAACAGTACAGTGGGTTGGGAGATCAGCTAATGCATTTGCCGATGTCTTGGCAAAACAAGGAACAAACAGGGAAACATTGTTATGGGCGCAACTGCAACTCTTGTTTAACATTAACATTCATGTAATATTTGTTGTAGTTATGTATTTCCTGTTTGGAGAGGCAGCACCTCTCACCTCTCTAAAGGGATTTTCATGTAACCAATCTTTGAAATAATGGAAGATGATTTTATTTATAAAAAAAAAAACAGTAGTTCAAATTACATTTTCTGCCCTCACAATTAAAGAGTGATCAAATTAAAAAATAGGGGTATTTTAGTTAAGAATAGAATCCAATGAAAGATAATGGAAGTTGATATCTTAAACATAAGACTTAATGAGAGGGAATTGAATGAGGTGAAAAGTAGTAGTTCAAATTACATTCTTTGCCCTTTCAATTAGAGAGGGACCAAATTCAAAAATAGGGGCATTTGAGTCAAACAAAAGTTCCACACTCCCATTCGTATTTTTAATAGTCTATGTAATAGATTATTATTATTATTATTGTTGTTGTTGTTGTTGCTGTAAGGCCATGGACAAGGTGAAGACGATGGTCAAACCTCGAAAGTCTAAGGAGTGGAAGTGGTTCCATGGAGGAGAGAAGTTGGGGAAGAAAAGCAGTCAGATAGGAGGGTATGTAGAGAGGAAAGTTGGTCAAAGGGGGAGAGAGGTGGAGAGAGAGAGAGGGGGGGGGGGAGTAGAGCTCAGGTCCCGCATATTTGAGAATCCATCTTATTTATATTTTCTTATTACTTAAATGAGAGTTTTTTCTGGTCACTATGCCATGTCAACATAGGTGGCCATCTGTCAACCATTGGTCTGTGCACACACCACTTTCATGACTCATCCTAAATTACTGTCTTGTAAACCAGATTAGCCATTGGACCAAACTGGCTTGGGTTTGGTTCAAGATGGACTGAACTGGGTCTATGGCCTTTTCCATGTCTATGCCTTTACAATTACAATTATTATTATTAGTTATGCCAGTCGTGTCCACAAATCCTAATTTTTTGGGTTCACTAAGTTGGTCTCCCGGACAGATGTCAGATTCTGACTCCCATATCTGAGTCCGTGCAACACTGCTTGGAATCCAGGCGCCAGTTGAAAATCAATAACCAAATTAGATCAATAACTTACTGTTTCATTATAGAAAACAGACCTGAGGTATTTCTGTGAATAATGGTGTCATGAACAGAAGAGCACATCCCATTATGATTCCCATAACAATTCCAGACAAGCCAGTTTTTGCTCCGCTTTCATGATTTACAGCAGATCTAGAAAAAGAGCCTGCATAATTTGTTCAAAGTATTATACTTCAGAATCATTGACATTAAGGCTAAAATGTTCAATATGTTATATATAACAAAGAATATGTGTATCAACCTCGATTTGTTATGGTAAATTGTGGACCCAAACTTACAAAAATACAGGCCTCATGAACATCTCACCTGTTGTGGGGTATGCTGAGAAGAAAGAACCACATATATTTGCTACACCAAGACCAAATAACTGTTTGCAACAAGAGTAAAATATTTTAGAATTTTCATCCAATAAAAATCATGTCTTCCACTAGCTAGTCTTTGAATACATAATGATCAAGTATTAATGCTACATGGCACACTTGAAATACACTACTTCTCCACCCCCCCCCCAAAAAAAAAAAACACTACTTCTATGCTTTGAAAATCTCTCATGCCACGTCATGTGAGTTTGGTACATTTATAAGATTTCAGTTTACTATAACACGTCATAAATATGTATCTGCTCATGGACCAGTAAAGAACAAGGGAAATTTGGTCCTCTTTGCTGAAGTGAAATAAAAAATATCCTTGGAGTAACTAAAGCATAAAAAACAGAGATTTTTTTGATAAGGGTTGCGTCAACATGTTTGTAATAGGCATTTATTACCTGCAACAGATACACCATAGATGGCGTCAATTTGGGCATCAAAAGGGGATTGGTGCAAAAAGAGGGTGTCCAATGGATCCAAATGACAACCTCTCCCTCTGCTATTATTAATTGCAGTTATATTTCTGTCCAATAGGCACACATTAATGCAACTCTTAAACACATAAAATTATATTATTAATATCCACAATCTAGATAAAATCTTGCACAGTATAAGGCAAGCTGCCACAGGGAACATTTGCTTCAAGAAAAGGTGTTAGTACAGAAGTAGAGATAATTGTCAATTCGACAGCAGCCTATACATCATCTTCGGAATTGAACTATATATTATGAAGATAAGGGTATGCACATGAGGCCAATGAACACCATCTATGCCTCTGAATGACCTTATTTGTCATCAGTCCATGAAAACTATCAGAACAAGGCCTGCAAATTACATGTCACATGTTGGAATATCAACCTACCACAGGGGATTCCAAAACACCAAAAAGAGGTGCCTAGGCATTTGCTTGCTCACAAGAAATAGATGAAATAAGAGTGATAAGAAAAAGGAATTCCACTATAAGCTCCACTGCAATTAAATTTTCTCCTTTTCGTGGCCATTTGTTTGAAATGATACAATCACATTTCTTTGCGACCACTACAGAATTTGGAAAAAATATGTTCTACAAAAAACTTCTAGCACAATATATAAATAAATATGGACTTCATTATAATACTGAGGGCCAAATGTAGACACATTATTTGGACAGAGTTCACAAATCAAACACATACATAGTGAAGAGCAGTGGTCTGAATCAAAATTGTTGCAGATGGGGAAAAAATTAGAACTCATAGACACTTTGAATCAATTTGTGTACTTATATTTTACTGATTAGATGTGTTCTGTTTTTCATTATCACATTTGTGTCGCAAACACAACAAATGACAAACTTTCCATGCTAAAGTCTTTGGACCAGAACAACTCAGTAACATGGCAAGCAAAATAAATAGATTATAAGAAGACTACCTGCACTAATAATATAGTTGTCAAGGTGTCCCCTGGTTGACAATACACCCTTGATGGGGCACCCAGCTTAAATGCCCTGAATTATATTAAGAAGGTACCCATCTAGATGACAAGGCATCTGCTTTTTTCTGTTTTTCCCCTTATATTTCCCCAATTTTCTGTTATTAAGCATACACACATACACACACTCATTTATTAAATATTTTATTAGAAAAGGACAAATCCTTTTTCTAGTTTTCTCATAGTTTTTTGATATTCAAATTCTCTATTAAGTACTTATTATATTACAAAAATTGTGTTAAAGTATTGAAACTAATAGATCTACTATTTTTAGATATGATAATTTACCATGTTCTGATATGAAATTAATTGTTATTTTGTAAATAAGTAATGATATTATTCAATTTATATACTCTCTGGCTGGTATAAAAACTAGGGAGCTAACCTAGAATTTAGGTTCTCTTTGCTAAGTTTCATCACCAAGGTAATTAGATACTCCACTATTGCAGCATCACCCAGAAATTGTCTATATACCTTACAATTGATAAAAAGAAGATAATGTACTAAAATTACAATAAAAACTTTATTATATTTCTATACCTCTTGATTAGCATCCAACTCATATCCATTCTTTGCTGCCAATGCTTTAGCAATCCCCACAGATTCCTGGAAGTCAAATGTAGAAGTTAAGCCTCAATAAAAAAGGCATCATAAGAAAATAGATCAAATAGTATGTCTTACCAATATAGCCACACCCGTGATAAGAAGAGTTGTTGGAATTAAAGACTTTGCATACCCAAAATTTTTAGGAATGGAAAATTTTGGAAGTCCTTGTGGAATTTCTCCTACCTAAACCAACAATCAAGGATTCAGATCTTATCGTTCTTATGATGTTATGTGCATTTCTAAATAATTTATAATTTTTTGATTCTATAAGAAAAAATCCTATCTAAAACAGATGAGGGATGTAGTTATTACATTAGTTCCATTCTTCTTTTTTCTTTTGAAAAAAAGGTCATGAAAGGGAGGAACTTGCAAGAGATGGGCTAATGAGTAGACACTCTTGTCTCTTAACACAGCAACCATAATGCTCTATGCTGTCATCCATTAATGTACCATGTTCACAAGAGTTTCATTTGTCAGTTATGTCAATATATGCATTAATGCACATTTTTTGAGTATGCATTCCATTCTTTGAAAGAAGAAAAAAAACATTTTGCAATTACGGCCTTTTTTCATATTTATCTAACTATACAGAATTAATACACTGCAAATCAATATATAACATTTTTCCTTTCAATATAATAGAATAAAGCATATGTTGATCAAGGAAATACAAATCATTTTATTGAAATATTCTATTGTCATTCCTTAAGTGCTTGCATTGTATGAAATATCAAGATAAGGTTTACTTTACAAGGTTTAGAAAATCATTTTTCACCTATTCATTATTTATACCTAGGCTACCTGATGCAAGACGCAAAGGAAATTCAGAGTAATTTGTGAGTTATTTGGGCCTTGACCTGAAACAGGAGAGAAAACTATCTCAAGTCTGCCACTCAACTTGTGGTCAAAATTTACATGTTTAACTTCATTTTGGTGTCATTAGAAGGTTTATTCAATTATGTACCTGAAAATACCAAGATTATATACGACATAGACAATAATTTAATGAGCTAATTTATGAACAGTCAGTGAGTCTATGGCGGGATTTCTATTTTTAGGTTATTTTTTGAGTTAATGCTTTAGGATTTGTTTTGGTAAGCATTAGGTTTAAGTTGCTTATTTATTACAAATTTATGTCAAACATTTAATGCATTAAAATTTCAATTTTAATTATTTTATGAGTTACGACTTCTACTCAGTTTAAGTCATTGCATCTATGTATGTCATCTGGAGAGTGTTTACAAGTCTTTAGATTAGAGATATACATCTATATAAGGTCCATAATATTCCTCTAAAAGAGAATGATGAGCTTGAGAATAAAAGTTTGCCCTTGGCTTCTTTTCTTTAAGTATGATGCTCAAGAACTTTTCTTCTTTGGTATGACTCCATTTAAGGCCTCGTATTCTGTTTGGCAAAACTCTGTACTTGATTCAGGAAAAGAGATGCAACTCCTGTAGTTTTTTTTAAGATAACTGAAATCCATTAATAGGGAAAAGTACATGAGATGATGTACATAAAAGAGCTAAAAAGATAGCTAATAAAGGCTACACAGGCAGGGAGCTAGCACTATGAAGACAATCTAGAAAATAACTCCTGTAGTTATTTTCTTTTAGCATTTTTTCTTTCTCTTAATCTTTATTTCTGTTACTTTAAGCTTTCCATGGTTTGTGAATTTGATCATTCCAAGGCTATCCTACTTCACCACCTTAATAAGCATAAAAATGTAGTAAGAGTTCCTTTCCTCTTTTTATGTGTTACTTATCACTACCCGTTATCTGCTTGACATAACAAAAAAAAAAAAAGACTAGTTTCCCTGAAAGGTAATAGAAGTAAGGTATAGGGTTTTAATTAACCAAATGCCTTTGAGTTCAAATTTTTAACTCCTCAAATGTATAATAACATTTATTCGAAGTAAGTTTTGTCTCTTTGTTGAAGGCTTTGGCTCAACAACTGAAGCCCAGGGCATAGACTTGATAAACTAAAAAAATCCCTTCAGACTAGAGTGTCTTCAGAGAGTATATATGACCCCAAGGCAGAGGATGGAAGCATCAAACATAAAAATCTCTTATATGTAGAACAAAGGGCTCTACTTTTGATAAGGGATTTTGGCTAGAGGCTTAGAAGACTGCAGTATAATATACATTCTTTGCTGTGGGGATACAGGAAAACTTTGCTCTGAATAAGGAAACAGTAAGGGCAAACCATCCTATTTGCAAGGATTTGGGTGCTAAAACCTAAAGGTTTGCCTTCTGAAAATTGCAATATCTACCTCTCAATATATGTTGTTATTGTTATATTTTGGTAATTGTGTTTTTCATAAAATTTAAATCAAGGATTTGAAAGTACAGGATCCACAATTCAAAATACCACATTTCATAATTGATCTTGCAAATGATTCACAAGATGTTGCCTAAAGATCAAAAGCTACCCCTTTTTCTTATGTGTACATACTAGCTCAAAAATAAGTGTTCCCTTGACACCCCTTGCTTAGCTAAGGTATCTGCCATAGAATTTGATGATCTATTGACCCACTTGAAAGTGGCCTTAGCTTCTCTTGCTAGCCTCCTGATCTCCCTCATTTCCTGCCTGTACGTCCATGGGCCCTCATTATTATTCACCATCCCGCTCACTCACTACCGCCATGAAATCTCCATCAACCTCTATTTGATCCATATTCATCTGCTTAGCTAGTTTTAACCCTTATAGAAGAGAAGTAAATTCTTCTTTCAGAAAGTTCCCAAATTCATATTGGACCTGAATATAGAGCCAAAACATATCCACTTCCATCTCTGAAAACCTGCCCCATACATGAAGGGCAAATATTTCCATAGGAACTGCCATCAAAGTTCATTTTCACTCTATTGCAAGTGGGTGGAATCCAAACTTCTTGACTTGTCACCTTCAAAGTTGAAGAGGCTGCTATTGTATTCCACCCTCTAAGGCAATCATCTACTGAGAAGTCCTTGAAGATCTCCATTGTTTTGATCCAATGGATTACCTTGAGCTTGATTCCTTCTATTAAAGCTCTTACATTCTTAAACTTCCCTTTAAACAGTCTGTTATTTCTTTCCTCCCATACTGACCATAAAATAGCCACTCTTGTTGCTCTCCACATCACCTTCCCCCTTTCTTTTTGTCATAGAAATGAGACTTAAGCTGAATAAGTTAGCAACATCCAAAGGAGGAATCCATCTGAATCCAAGGGGAGTCACAAATGAGCAGGAGATTAGTACTAATGGGACAAAGTCTCACCACTAGCATTGCATAGATAACAGATATGAGGGGAAACACAGAAGTTAGTCCCCCTTTTTTGATGCATGTCACTAATGTTTATCTTACTGAGGGCCACTTCCCAACAAAAAAGTATGAGTTTTTTTTAGGGGGGATTGGCTCATACCACACTTCCTTAACCAGAAAATCCTGCTATCCAGACAAGAGGGATCAAGACTGATCATTTACAAAGCTGCTAGCAGATCTAGCAATAGGAACAACTTCCCCCTCCTAAGTCCTCTTCTTAGCTCTAAGTCCCAAGCAACACTGTTTATTTAGATGCTTTGAGAGTCTCACCAGGGAAACAAAGCAACTTTCCTGATTAGTTACTTCAGCTAACCATATATGGATAGATCTTAGTTTTTGGAACTTTGTGCATTGTTAATTTTACGGGGGTTAGGATAACAAATATTGCAGTTCAGGAAATAGATTGCTAATCTCTACTTTATATACCTAAATACTCAAAAGAGATGAACAAAAAAAAGTTAACATGAATTACAACATCTCTGTATTGGCATAAAATAGAGCAGAGGATGACCATATCATGCAATAATATAATATTAGTAAGTGAATAAAGTAGAAGTTATTCTTACCACAGAAATGGAAGATGGATGGAATATTTTAACAAAAGTTGTACCAAGAACAACTGCTGTAAGGGGACCTGTAGCTCGTAGGAATCGCAAATGCTTCCTTGATTTTCCCTAAAACATCCATAGCATGAATGCATCAAAAGATGATTAAGAAAGTAGTTTATGCTAAATGTAAAGAAAAAAGACACCAGTAAACTCCTACCAAGTGCTTCATGACCAGAAGAATTGCAAGAATGATTGACCCCATTACGAAGGGGGGCCATGAAAACTACAATAGAAAAAATCCAAGGTCAGTGAAAAGAATATATTCGGTTCTTAAATTATGCTCAAAATTAAACAATTATTGTTAATGTTACAGCACAATATCAGATTCAACCAGTCCAAATATTGAGGCAGTACTTATAGATTCCTTTTAAGCAATAAATTGCAAATTGTACTTTTTTACCTATGGAAAATTTTAAGGGATTTAAAAAAATTTAGATGGTCACCCTCAACCTGGAGTAAATTTTGGGGTTTAAAAAAGTTTTTAGGGGATGATTTGGGCACATCTGAATTTTGATGTGTAAGCCATATCCCCAATGAAAAGACAGAAGATGCTTATGATGATCAAAACTAGAGTATAGAGGGATGTCTTTATTTTAGAGACTTAAACAAGAAAGTACCTCTTTATCATTAACAAGGCTCTTCTCTTGTTCATTAAAAGTTGTGCACTCAGATCACCACCTAGGTTTTCTGGTGGCATATAGAACATTATCATTTCATACATACCCCTGTTAAGAGTAGGTTTGGTACAGGTCAACCCAATCCAACTAAATAAAATTGAATACCAAATCCAACCTGCCCTATCCCATGAATAGTACCCCCATACTTGGTAAAGGATATATCTACAAGTGTTCCAATGCTACTATGTCAATGGGTCAGGTTTGGTACAGGTCAACCTCAACCCAAACCCAATAGGTTGGGTCAAGGCAGGTTTACCCCAACCCGTTGCCATCCCTAGTCAAGACGTATACAACATAATGAAATATAGAATCATAATAAACAATTTAAATCACATTATGATATGAAAATAACATTGTTTTTTCTAGATTATTAATCATACTGCCAAAAGTACAAACTTATTCTTTCAGGTTCACCAAACTGGATATTCTGTCAATGAGAAAATCTAACATCTATACCAACATTGAACTTCAAAAAACTTGCCACCCATACAAATCATGTTTCATGGTTCCTATTTGTCTATTGCTACATTCTTGTTAATGCTGTCAATGGTTTTGGTCTTGTCCAGTTTAGGATAGACTCGATCCCACCCCAATAAATAAATGTGAAGAACCAGTTCCAACCAGAACCTAAGACTGACCCAATTATTAATTTGGAACTACTGGGTCTGACCCAATTATAATTGACAGATATACTTTTAACCTGTAATTTGACAATAAACCTACTTATTTTGTTAAGCAGACATAGTTCTGACATCATAATGTGATAATATTACAAATATATCATGAGAACAAAATAGGTATTAGAATGGGGTGTCTTTTTAACATGCTAATACATACATACATAGTATGTATGTATGTATGTATGTATGTATGTATGTATGTATGTATTGGGACACACAATGCAGACCCAAACCCTATATAATTGAGTTGGTTCAGTTCAGTTGGGTCTGCCCAAACCTTCTTTTTAATATAAATAAAGAAGAAAATTTTATTACTAAAATGATGAAGTACATAAAACATAGGTGACAAGGAGTCATCCCCAGTAAACATAAAACCAAGAAAAGATGATAAATTCACTACTCCAACATGCAAAAGTCATAATCCAAAGTACAAGAAGTCAAATAAAGAATTTAAAGTTTGCCAAAAGTCTGATCCAAAGTATTCTTTACTGAGGCCATCAAATTCCAGAAGAACCAGCACCCAAGCAACTACCCTTGAACTGATTGCCGCCCCAACTTATTCTAAGCTTTTCATCTTCCCCTCTGTTGAAGTTCGGCCTGCCCTAGAAGTCTGTTTTGTTTGTTAGCTGAAAAGTAAAGTAAACAGCAAGAAGGAAGAGAGGAAAGAAGAAGGAAGAA